GAGAGAATTATTGATCAGCTGCCTCCTGCACATCCCCCACCCAAGGTGGAGCCCAAAACCCTAGCATGTATTCTGACCAGGAATTGAACCATGTCTTCCTGGTTCATAGATCAATGCCTAACCATTTAGCCATACTAGCCAGGCCTTAGAATAAACTCTTGATAAACAGTTCTGGTACTACAGCTTAAATTCTACAACCAGACATAAAATATCTTGCTCTATGTTATTTTACCATCTCATTTTTTTTTCACTTTTGTTAATTATGACCTAGGATAGATTGGTATAGGGACCAAGTACCTTCTCTTCAGCAAAGTACGTATTAAGTCTAACAGGTATCAGGCTACTATTTGATGTAGAGATTTACTAATTCTACTCCCAATTTGGTCAAATAGACATTCCATTACAATATTATTTTCTCCCCAGTGACTGACTGCAAAGGCTAATTTGACCTGGCTGGCTGCAGAGGTGCCTCTTCCTCTCCCACTTTTCCACATGTTGTTTTGTATTACCTTATTCTAATTGGAATATTAAAATTCAAAGAGAATATGTCCCTGCTTGAACCATAGACTATAGAAAGTAAGGTTAAGGTCAATTCCATTTCATTTCCAGTGGTGGTACATTAATATCAATTTATTAATCCAAAAAAGGTACATAGGAAATGATCAACATAACCTCAAAGATTGCCTAATGTACACCTCAGAAGTGATATTGAGTGGAAAAGAAATTGTCTTCTGATCATCACTCAATAGGAGGGTACAATAGACTTAAAATCAATATCAGATCTTAGCACCTGTGGCTTTCTAGCATCACCTCTCAACTTGAAAGTTAGAAAGAAACACACACACACACACACACACACACACACACACACACACACACACACATTTGGCTCAGGTGAATCAAAAGAGTAGCAAAGAGAGAAACCCACAATACATTCATATTTTTTGTATTGTTTAGGCTATTTGTAAGAGAGACCCAAATTGATAATATATTCAACAAATCAAAGTTTATTTCTCTTCATATTACAGTCTGGACATAGTCCAGGCTTCATGGCTGCATGGCAACTCTGCTGCATGAGGTTGTCAAGGGATCCAGACTCATTCTATCCTGTGGCTCAACCAATTTTAGGATATTTCTCTTGTCCACATAGCTCAGAATGGCTCTCCACAATGTTTAAGAAGCAAATAGCAGGATAAAGAAAGTAGGAAGAGGATATCCTCTCTCCTTTTTAAAGTTTGAACAGAAGGTTCTTCAAATATCTTCTAGCTGCATCCTATTGGCAATAGCTTAATCACATGACCACAGCTGGCTGCAATTAAGCCTGGGGAGTGTACTTTTAAGCTTGGTGACCCTGTCCTCAACTTATAATCCTTTTTCTTTGGAATGAGAAAAGAATGTACATAATGGAACAATGAATACTCTTTAAAAATAGTTCATGTCTTTGAAGCTTTTTTAAAGAGAAAATTATTAACCTGCTTACCTTCTGACTGTAAACACACTCAGGCAATATTTCTGACCATAAACATACCTAGACAGCATGTATAGCCATTAAGGCAGGCTTTTCTCAATGAGACTCTTCCAGTTGTGAAGTCCTTGGAATTCTATCATACTGTTTGTTTAGTAGCTACTGTTCTAAGATGCCTACTAACCTTGCTGGCTGGTCCAAACCTTCTTGGCTTGCATTACACTTCCCATGATCCAGCAACTAAAGGGTTAAGGCTGGGCTGAGCAAGGGGATTAGGAATCCTGCTCCAAGTCTAAGCCATAGTTCATTCTAATTAATTACATGCTGGCCAATACAGGTGGTAACCTGTTTTGATTCTTACCCAGGCAGTAAAGATGAAGGAGTGCTCCCACAGGAAGTTAACTCAGGATTTTTCATTTCCTTGATCATTCACAACTGAGACCTAACAAGGTCATGTCTGATACTGTGTCTTGGTTTCTCTGACTCTAAAATGTGAGAATTCCCCCTTTGTAATTAATTCAAGGAGCTGGTGAAGAAAGGAACTGGTGGTGTAGTTAATCCAATATAAAGATATAACAATAAGGAATGACCTTCTGACCCTAATCAAAGGTAAATTTAAGAGACCACTCAAAAAAGAATATGGAAGAAACCATTGAATGGGGTTTTAAAAGATAGGATCTGGGCTAGGGCTGGCAGGGGGGAAAATGTCTCCTGCAAGAAAATGTGATGAAAAAGAGAACAAGGCTAGATGAGGTCCTAAGCAGCAATACTGGTGTCTTAAAAGACAGAATTATAAATGAGTACATTTCCCTCATCCAGGCAGAGAGGTGCTTGCTGATTGGCCTCCTCTCTGCTATTTCCCAGAGGAATGCTGAACACTCAGTATGTGTGGAGACTCAATGTAATGTCATAAAGCTAATCATACCCCATGTGAACTCTGCCCATCAATATTCAGTCTGCCTTCGCATTCCCAAGGAAGCATAAGAAAACGAGGCTCAGGCAAGTTCCTTAGCCTTCCTGAGCCTTGATGATTTTTATCTGTAAAACAATGACAATTCTATCTATATTTTATGGTGTCTTTTATGATGGTTGTGATGTTTAAATGAGAATATGCACATATGTATCCTATCACCCTGATAAATGGTAGACACTCAGAAATTTCCAGTTTCCCTCTTGCTTAGTTCCCTAGATATTTCTGCATCACTGGTTATTATCATGAATAAGAATGTGAACAAACTCAGAGACCAAAAGCCACCCTCAGTTTCTGACCCAATGCCAGACATTGCAGTTTCTCCCTATAGGAATCTGGGTCCCCAGAGTTTCATCTGAAACTGGAGTTCAGAGCGGTTGGGAGCTTGTATCTCCCTTCCAATTGAAAAACACAGTGCACCCAGTTACCAGCCCGATTCGCACACCTCCCTCCGTACCTCTGCTATTCGGAGCCTCTGCACCTCCTACCCAGTCTCAATGTGCTTTTCTCTTTCCTTCTAGTTGTAGAACTTCTACTCAGCCAGCTTTCCCATAGTTCTGGATGATAGTTGTTTTGTCTTTTAGTTATAGTTTTGATGTGATTGAGAGAGGCAGCAGGTACAGGTATATACCATGTGCCACCATCTTGGTTTAGCTCTATCCTATGTCTTTTGATTGCAGCATTTAATTCATTAACACTTAAAAGCTTTTGATAGATATTTATTTATTGCCATTTTATTATTTAATAGGGGCCCAATGCACAAATTTGTGCACCTTGAAAGGAGCTATGGGCCATGAGCATGTGGTGGGCACAGAGGTGGGTCTCAGCCCATCCTCTGTGCCCCCACCTGGCCCCTCCTGCCACAGACACAAGTCCCCTCTCTTCCAGCAGCCCCACTTAACTCTGCCACAATGACAGTGCCAGCTCCACTTGCACCTGCTGATGACACCAGAGCTGCTACTCCTAAACTTAGCCAGTGCTGGAGCCTCCACTCACATTCACTGCTGGCACCCAGTGCCAGTCCCCATCGCTAGGTGCCATCAGTAGGTGCAAGAGGCAGCTGCTGGCCCAATTTGCCCCTTAGGAGCAGGGGGAGGTGGAAAAGCCATGAGGGGAGATTGGGGTTGGTGCCAGATATTGACAGCAGATATGAGCACAAGGCAGGACCATGGTGCACAGGAAGAATTTTTAGTAACCACCAGAGACTTATCCCCATGACAATGACTGGCACCCCGCCTTGGTCTGGAGCACCCACTCACCTGCTCCACCATCCCACCGTGGCCAATTTCTGTCATGTTCTGTGCACACCCCCTGGTGGTCAGGACACATCATAGCGACCAGTTGTTCCATTGTTCCAGTTATTCCACTATTCAGACTATTTGCATATTAGCTATTTATTATATAGGATACCTATGTTCCTCTCTATATATATTTGTACTAGAGGCCTGGTGCATGAAATATATGCAACCCAGGCTGGGGTTCCCTCAGCTGAGGCTGCACTCTCTCCAATCCAGGACCCCTTAGGCCACATGTGTCAAACACAAGGCCCGCGGGCCAAATCCGTCCCGCCAGGCCTTGCAATGTGGCCCGCACCGCGCTGTCATCACTGCACTCCGCTGCATTTCCATCACAATGACAGTTTATGACTGTTCAGTAAACCATTCGGCCTGCAATTTAGGCTGGATTTTAGATTTTGGCCCCTTCTCTGATTGAGTTCGACACCCCTACCTTAGGGGATGTCTGACTGCTGTTTTATTGGGCCTAAAACGGCAGTCAGACATCCCTCTCACAATCCTAGACCACTGGACTCCTAAATGCTCACCTACCTGCCTGTCTGGTTGCCTCTAACTGCCCTCCTACTGGTCTAATAGCCCCTCACTGCCTCTGCATGCCAGTCTAATTGCCCCTAATTACATCCCCTGATAATTTGGTCACCTCTAACTGCACCATGCTTTGGCCAGGTTGCCCCAACTTCCTCCTTTCTGCCACTCCTCACAGCCACCATGACAGCCTAATTGCCGTCAGCTGGGCCCCTGCTGCCTTGGCCACCCCCAACTGCTACCCACCCAGCCTGGTCATCCCTCACTAACCCCCTGCCCACCTGGTCACCCCAGGTAGCCTGCTGTCCAGTCTTTTGGTTGTTGCTCACTACCTCCTTGTAAGCCTTGTCATAGGCAGCAATCTTGTAAGGATGTCAGGGTCAATTGCCTATTATCTCCTTGTTATATAGGATATTTTTTTCTTCTTAAAGAAAGTACTTTAACATCTCTTGCAATTATAGTTTGGGGGTAATGAACTCTTTTAGCTTTTACTTTTTTTTTTTTTTTTTTTTTTTTTTTTTTTTTTGTTCTAGGAAGCTCTGTTTCATATTCAATTTTCAATGATAGTCTGTTAGGTAGAGTACTCTAGTTTGTAGGTCCCTGCTTTCAATCACTTTGAACATTTCGTGACAATCCTTTCTGGCCTGAAGTGTTTCTGTTGGGAAATCAGCTGACAGCATTATGGAAGCTCCCTTGTAGTAACTCTCTTTCTCTTGCTATTTAAAAAATTGTCTTCATCTTTAACCTTTGCCATTTTAATTACGATGTGTTTAGTGTGGGTCTCTTTGGTTTAATCTTGACAGGGACGCTGTGCTTCCTGAACTTGTGTGACTTTTTCTTCCTTGGCTTAGGGAAGTTATCAGCCATTATTTCTTCAAACGGGTTCTTCACCCTTTGTTCACTCTCTTCTCCTTCTGGAACCCCTGAATATATAGATATTGTTCAACTTGATGTTGGCCCAGAGGTCCATTAGGCTTTCCTCATTTAAAAAAAAATTAATTTTCTTTTTGTGCTCTGCTTGGATCCTTACTCTTATCTTGTCCTTTAAATCACTGATTGAGTCCTCTGATTCGTCTAACCTGCTGTTGATGCCTTCTAGTGTATTCTATATTTCAGATATTTATTCTTCCTTTCTGACTAGTTCTTTTTATGGTTTCTATGTTCCTTTTACTGCTCACTGCCTCTTCATTTAAATTCTCATTGAGATCATCTATTGTCCCTCTAAGGTCTTCGAACATGCTTATAACCATCGTTTTAAACTTTGCATCTGGTAACTTGGTTGCTTCCATTTCATTTAATTCTTTTCCTGGGGATTTCTCCATTCTTGCATTTGGGGCTTATTTCTTTGTCTTCCCGGTTTGTCTGCCATTTTTTGTGTTTGGCTCTGTATATTAGGTAGATCTGCTATGACTTCCTAAGTTTTTTTATGAGGGTTTTCTGATGTAGTTGCCATGTGGGTCTCAATGGCACAATCTTCTAGATCACCTGAGATAGGTACCCTGTAAATGTTTCTTTTGATATGGGTTATGCACCCTCTCATGCTGTAGTTGAGTTGTGGATGCTGTTGGCCCATTCATGGGTTGAGTTTGCCCTCAGGTTGTCTGACTATAAGAATCGACCTAATTCACTGTATATTAGTGCCTGTTCAGCCACTGCCCCTTGAGGCATAGTTGTTCCCCGCCTGGTTTGGAGCCTTCTAGAACCTTGGGCTGTGCCATTTGTATGGGTTAGCTGGGTTGAACTCTAGTGAGGTTTGAAACTCACCACTGATTGTGCTTGTTTTGTGCCCACTCGTAGGGGGTTCCCATGTAGGCCTGTGTAAGACATTGTGTGTAACCAAGCTTGGGCTACTTGTTTGGAGCTATCATGCTATTCACTGATTGTGGTTGTGTCTACTAGGCCTGAGTGTGTGTGTGGGGGGGAGGGGAGTGGGCTGGGGGGGAGGCCAAGCTGTGTAAATGGTCATCTTCCTGCTGCTCTGAGCTGGGGGCAGATCAATAAAATGTCCAAGGCTCTATGAGGTTAGCATCCACCTGTTGGCTACTCTACCACCTCCTGAGGTTGCCTGGATTTCCTGCATAGCCTTTTGAAGAAAGACTGTAGAGTGGGCCCAAGCTGGCCACACCCCTCTGTCCCTTCCATATGGCACCAGCTCAGTAGGGTGGGGCCACTGGGTTTAAAGGACAAGGTCTTGGGGGGCAGCATGATGAAGTACTCAATGAGGAGAATGTGACCCCTACTCCAGAGCCATACCACTTAGTCTATGCTAGAGTCTCCAACCCCAGCTCCTCCAGGAGGATCTCCTCACCAGAGCAGGTTGGGTGCATCTAGCTTGCCCCACTGCAAGAGCAAGGTCAGCAGGACAGGGCCACCAAGACTTGGGAAAACAGATAAAGAAAGTCTCTCGTTGCAGACGGCACTGTCCAAGCATGTGGAAGAAGAGCAAGCTCTTGAGTGGGATTCCCTTCCTTCCATGAAATTGAAATCAGCAGCATGGGGCTAACAGGACTTTGGATAACAAATCAAGATAGTCTCCCATTGGTGGTAGAGCTGGTCAAGCCCTCAGTAGTGGAGCAAGCTCAATGCCTCCCATTAGATTCTTAGCAGTGCTGTCTCGAGCCGTGGACTGCCTCCAAAGGTCCCAGGTGTGAGCAGTGTTCCCTTTTTCCCACTGAGCTGAGCTCAGCTGGATAGGGCCACCAGGACTTGGTAAAACATATCAAGACAGCCTTACACTGGGGGTCGTACTGACCAAGCCAGCAACTGGAGGGGGAAAGAACGGGCCCCATTCCAAAGCCTCACAGCTCAATGTCTGTCTGAGCGTCTGCCTATAGTTTTTCCAGGGAAAGAGCACACCAAAGCTCCCTGAGTGCAGACAACAATCCTTTCTGCTGGACTCAAGTTTTGGGGGGTACTGTCACCTGTATTTGAAGGGTTGGATTAATGCACTTCTAGCACTGGTGCTGTAAGAATAGCAATGCCCAACCTTGGAAAAATGATGCCTGAGGGGAGTGTGCGATGCTGACTCAGGACTGGGACCTCAGTAGCTGCTCCTCCAGATCTCTCTCTGAGACCATGCCGTCAAGATCTTCTCTGTATTACTCCCATATGCCCTGAGTCACCATCCCTCTACCTGAGCCCCAGGTGAGTGCCCGAGAGCAAGCTTCTATGTGTTGGCTCTTTTAAGAGAGCATTTGGGACTCAAGCAGACTCTCTCCAGATGCTACACAAACTCCACTTCCTGGCCCTGGTGCTCTGGGTTGTGGGTCCTGGTGTGGGCTTAAGACCCCATGGTTCTCAGTGGGGACTTTTGCAGCTGAGATACCCCTCCAGTTTCTGCAGGGGCCAGCCCTCCCTGTGTCTCTGCCCTTCTTACCGGCCTCTATGATGCTTCTTCTATAAATGCTTTAATAAAATACTCCTGTTCAGCTGTCCTTCAGTTGGTCATTCTGCTTGACTCAATCTGTTTTGGTGTAGGGAGAAAGTGAGTGTAGCTTACACCTACTCTACGGCTATCTTGAAGAAAACAAAACTCCTCTTTATATTCACTCTATTCCCATCAAACCAGAACCTGCCCTGGATTCTACTACTTTTATCTACACTTTTTGCTTTTTCCTTGTCAAGGGCCAACTCAAATGCGATTTCCTCAACAAATCCCTTCACCTACACTCAAAGACAATCCAAAAGTTCTCCCCTGAGATAAACCAAGATGGTGGCATAGGTAAGCACCTAAACTGCTGCCTCGCACAAAAATTTCAAAACTACAACTAAAAGACAAAATGGACATCATTCAGAACCACAGGAAAGCTGGCTGAGTGGAAATTCCACAAGTAGAAGGAAAGAGAAAAGCTCACAAGGAATCAGAGGAACTGCAAAGGGCTGAGGTACTGATACACTTGAGCAAAGAGGAAGGGTGACTGAATGCCTGGCTGGCTTTCTCTGGCGGGAGGGAGAAGGAGGCTCCCAACTGCACTGAACCCAAGTTCCGACTGCGCTGAACCCCAGTTCTGGGCGAAACCTCGTGAACCCAAGCTCATACGGGGGAGTCTGGACTGTCAGGCAGAGAGAAAGGCAAATGGAGACTCAGAGGCTCAGGGTAGCCACGGCAGGCAGGGGTCTGGAGGTGTACGCATACGAGTATGCGCAGAGAAGACTAACTGTGGAGGTTGCTGCTGGATTTCCCTAGGGGAAGGGATTTGGAAGCTCCTGACTGCACTGAACCCCAGTTCCGAATGCACTGAACCTCAGTTCCGGGTGAGCCCCCGGGGACCCACGCTCTTACAGGGGAATCTGGATTGTCAGGTGGAAACGCAGGGGAGCCGAGAAAGGCGGAGGTCTGGAGGCAAGAGCATTCAGAGAGGACTGACTGTTGGCTGTGCTGCTGGCTGGAGGGAACCTGAAGCTCCCAACTGCTCTGAACTCCAGGGGCGGGCGAGAATCTGGTAATCCAGATTCATTGGGGGAGAAACTGGACTGCCTGGCAGCGGGGGAAACTCAAGGGCAGCTTTCTCTCAGAGGTGTTTGCAGCGATTACTGAGGGACACTGAGACCCAGGGGCTTTGAGCAGGGCTGACGGAAAGACAAGACTGTCTGCTCAGCCCTGAGACTCCGCCCCATCCAAGCAGAGCACAGTGGCTTTTGCAATTTTGCAATTCTGGTCCCGTAAGGCTGTCTCCAGCACAGAAGATCTCCCAGGGTAGACACAGTTGATACTCACAACCAATTGGCCTGGAGGTCAATTTTTCCCAGTGACACCAACAACAATCAAGACTTAACTACCTTAACTACAACAAGACTGTACACACAGTCCACAAAGTGGTGCACCAAGAGTGTCTACCTCAGGTAACTGGGGAGTTCGACCCACTGGGACATATAGAACATCTAGCACACAAAGCTACCCTACCGACTCAGGGAAGCAGCAAAAATGCGGAGACAAAGAAACATCACAAATTAAAGAAGTGGAGGAAAACAAATGACTGGATATAAAATTCAAAACCACGATTATAAGGTTTTCCAATAATTTCCCAGAAAAGGCCGATATATTTAGCAAGACCCTCGAGGATATGAAAAAGGACCAACTAGGAATTAAACATACACTGACTGAAATAAAAAAATATTATACAGAGACCCAACAGCAGACTAGAGGAATGCAAGAATCAAGTCAAATATACGAAATACAAAGAAGCAAAAGACACCCAACCAGAAAATAAAAAATAAAAAAGAATGCAAAAATTTGAAGATAGTGTAAGAAGCCTCTGGGACAAGTTCAAGCATACCAACATCCAAATTATGGGGGTGCCAGAAGAGGAGAGAGAGCAAGATACTGAAAACCTATTTGAAGAAATAATGACCGAAAACTTCCCCCACCTGGTGAAAGAAATAGACTTACAAGTCCAGGAAGCGCACAGAACCCCAAACAAAAGGAATCCAAAGAGGACCACACCAAGACACATCATAATTAAAATGCCAAGAGCAAAAGACAAAGAGGGAATATTAAAAGCAGCAAGAGAAAAACAGTTAGTTACCTACAAGGGAACACCCATATGATTGTCAGCTGATTTCTCAAACAGAAACTATGCAGGCCAGAGGGGAGTGGCAGGAAATATTCAAAGTGATGAATACCAAGAACCTACAGCCAAGATTACTCTACCCAGCAAAGTTATCATTCAGAATTGAAGGTCAGATAAAGAGCTTCACAGACAATAAAAAGCTAAAGGAGTTCATCACCACCAAACCAGTATTGTATGAAATGCTGAAAGGTATTTTTTAAGGAGAGGAAGAAGAAAAAAGTAAAGATAAAAATTATGAACAACAAATACATATCTATCAACAACTGAACCTAAAAATCAAG